GTTACTGTTTACTTGAATAGTATATGACATAGCAATTTTTTTTTGTGTATTTCCACCCATTGCCATGTCAACCTAAAGTCAATTACTATTTACATGGGATTAATTTTATTTATATGTATGAGATTAATAAATAAAAATTTGATAAGTATGTATAAAATATTTGAATTTTTTGATAAATATTTTTTTAAAAAAATTAATTTTTTTTTTCTTGTGTTAATTATATTTTTGGTCACTGGAGTTGAAATCAAATTTGGTCATAGTGATTTCAATTTTTCTAATTTCGTCATTGTAGTTGCAACAGTTAACAAGTCTAGTCCAATTCCTCAATTCTGTCAGTTTGCTTAAAAAATATTTAATATGAAATTAAAATAATATATATATATATATATAGCAAAAGGCAAAAAAATAGAAACATTAAGAATTGAAATTATTAATTAAATGAGGATAATATGGTAAATTTATATTTTTTCATATTAAAAAAATTAAAATTAAAAGAAAAATATGATAATGGATCATATTTTATAGAACACAACTACGTATTATCTTTTTTAATTCTAAAATAAATTTAAATTTTTTTAAAAAAAATCTCTCACAGACGTGTGTGGAGAGGCTAGTTAACTTAAAATAGACTACTTAAAATAGACAATATCTAAAAGAATATAAAAATAAAAAAAATAAAAAAAGTATTAATCCCGACCGAATACCCCAAAACGTCGCCAACCCCACCCAAACCCAACATCTCCACCGCCCCATCCTTCTTCATCCTTCACCCACACACCAACTCCCACCCACACACTGCAGTTCTACTCTATCTCTCTCTCACGGCCTTTATGCTCACAACTTTTGTTGATTATTGCCATGGGTCTTCTTTATAAACTCAAAATCTCATACTCTGGATGTTTGTGAAATTGTGACTATTACTGAACCCAAAAAATTTTAGAGAGACTTTGGAAAAGACTAAATGAGAGAGAAATTTTTTAAAAGAAGCTAAAATGGACAAAATTGCCCTTATTTATTTTTGGATTTCCTAAATAATCCTTTACATTTGCTTGTCTTTGGTTTGAAAGTTGATAGGTTTTTCTGTCTTTTTTGAAAAAATTTTGGCTTTTTCCAAAAATTATTATTATTTGGCTAAAACCTAAATATACTCAATTATTATATTATTTTGCACTCCAAACTGTGTATTTTCCGGGAGTGTTTGATGAGGAAGAGATAAGAGAGAAGTAGATATTGAGATGTTCTCATGTGGGAGGAGGCAGTCGATCTGTGGGGGGATAGGAAAAGAGTGAGGTAGATATAATTTTGTTTTGATTTATTAAATATTAAATATTAAATATTTTTTAATTAAGCTAACTGATGGAATCGAGGAATTGGACCGGATTCGTTAACTGCTGCAATTGAAATTGGAAAAGTTGAAATTACGGTGACCAAATTTGAGTTAGGGCCAAAATTCAGTGACAAAAAATGTAATTACCCGGACTGGATGTCACCGTTGGAGCTGATTTTTGGAGACCGGAGGCCTTTTGCTTGGGCTAGTCTGTACGCCGGAACTACTCTTACGCCTATTCATTTATTGCAAAATTCTACGCTATCCATTTATCGCAAAATTCTATTCTTACACATAACAACACATATTTCAAAAGGTGCGTTTGACGGTGAAAGAATTTGACAACATAAAATAATCCAACGGCTAAAACTATGTCACTTGAAGACCATATAAATATGGACCTTATTATAGAACAACTATCCATTTATTACCCATCCCACCTCTTCGAATCTCGTCGTCCAAAAAAATCCTCTCCGAACCCTATGTCTTCCTTCCCCTTATGCCAAGAGACCAAGAATCAAACGTGGGCTCATCAGCTATAGCACTCTCCCTCATGTGCCCTCGATTGCTCGTGTGCTGTCGGCGGTTAGGTACTCTTCTGTAGCAGCGACGTCGTCTTTCAGGTACTGTTCTCTCCTCTGGAACTGAGTCGTTAAATCTTTCGTTCCAGATCGATACCGGACCGTGAGTACGCTCGATCCAGATCGAAATTCGTAGGGGGTGAGCGATTTAGGCAACTATGGACTAAATTTTAGTGATTTCTCACTTATTACCTCTATGTGAGGTGCGTAGTTTACAGTTCTCGTTGTCTGGGTTCTGTGAATAATAATATCTTTGCAGTCTGAATGCATTGGGCTACAAATTAGATGTGTTCACTTTCAAATGTTTGTTTCCACACCTGTTTATGCAGTTTGCAACATCCATTGCTCCAGTTATAAGAAGGACAAGAGAAGCTGCTGCTGTTATCATTTTTGTTTTTCAGACCAAGTAGGGTACATAACATTGTAGGAACTTGAGCATGAGCGGTGCACCTAAAAGACCTCACGAAGAGAGTGGTCATTCCTCCTCTTCAAAATACCCACATGATGATTCAGGAGCTTACCCGAAGCTGTCATCATCGGTTTCCAATGAGTACCATCCTCCCTATGAGATGGCTCAAGATTCTCGCTTGCCGAAGATTCCCCGTACAGAATCCCGTGACCTGGATAGAAGATCTCCCATTCATTCAATATATCGAATGCCATCAACTTCAAATGATTTGCATGTAGATCAGCCTGTTGCTTCTGAAAACAGATTGGAGTCCAGAGATTCCAAGGATACTAGAGATCTTCGCTTTGAGAACCGAGACACAAAGACGGAGACAAAGGACTTGTACAGTGAGTCAAGAAGGGATACACAGAATGCTAAGGGTGAAAAGGATGTGAGGTATGACAGTCGAGGGGATGACAATAAGGAGACGAAATATGAAAGGGAGAATTTTAATGATGTGAAGGCTGACCTGAAAATGGAAGGTTATGGTGTGGTCAGTAGTCACTTGAATTGGAAAGACTCAAAAGAATACCATAGAGGAAAACGGTATTCTGATGCCCCAGCTGGAAGTACAGATGCCTGGCATCGCAGTAGTACACAAGGCCACGTTGAGGTTGGAAAGGAAGTCCCTGCTACTGAGGAGCGGGATCATGTAGAGGCACATGAGGCTGTTGGGGAAAATAAATTTGATTCTAAAGGTGAGGATAAATTCAAAGAAAAGGATAGAAAAAGGAAAGATATGAAGTACCGGGAATGGGGAGACAAGGATAAGGAAAGAAGTGATCGTAGGAGCACTATTCCAGTAGCTAACAGCAGTAGTGAGTGCAAAGAACCAGCAAAAGAAGAAAGAGATGCAGATAGGTGGGAGAGGGAGAGGAGGGACACCGGCAAAGACAAGGAAAGACAGAGAGAGAGGGAAAGGGATCATACCAAGAAAGACCCATGGAATGGAGTAGAGAAAGATGGTTCAAATAATGAGAAGGAAGTGGGGGACGGGTCTATTAGAGTGTCAGAACAGGAAATTCTGCCAGCAGAGCAGAAAAAACAGAAAGATTTTGATAGTTGGAGAAATGTTGATAGGGAATCCAGAGACAGGAGGAAAGAAAGAGATGTTGATGTTGAAGGAGATAGAACTGACAAGCGCAGTAGGGGCTATGACAAAGAATCAGATGATGGATGTGCAGATTGTGAAGGGGCTACAGACCGAGATAAGGAATTTTGTAATTATGGAGTTCAGCAGCGTAAAAGGATGCAACGATCAAGGGGTAGCCCTCAGGTGGCAAATCGTGAGCTGCGCTTTAGGTCCCGCACTCAAGACAATGAAGGGTGTGTTTAAATATTTTCCTTTTCCGTTTCCAATTTTATTGCAAGTATGATGGGTTACTGATTTCACATATTCAAAAAAGTATGGGAAAATATGCCCTAGCATTTTGATATTGCATAGATAAACTACTAATTTTGAACCTAAATTTAGTAGATTGATAATTGTGTTTGTTTTGCATATGGATTCAGAAAAGCTATTCGTCTGTAGTAATCTGTGCAATGGCTACAAGCAATATATTTTCTAGATATATGCAAAATTCTTTGGAAGTGGATGATCAACTTTTGCAGTGTAGACAATGATATACTGCCTACGCATATTAAAAGCATAATTGGTCTGAAAATAAAGGGGCAGTTATCTCTCCACTTCTTTATAGGACATTTGTTTATTGAAATTAATTTTACTATAGTTGTCGTAAGTCATTCGCTGAAAGGTTTATCTTTTAATTTTGTTTTTACTGATTCAATTTGTAATTTGGTGGTGCGAATTATAAATGATAAACATATTTGTTACTGCGATCACTTTATTTGTTATCATAAGTCATTTGCTAAATGAAATGGCAGCCCAAGGTAATAGCTTGGTAAAGCATAAATCTTATAATACCATTATAAATTCAAGAATCAAGTTTAAATGAAAAGTATACTTTTCCTTAAAGCGTATTTAAGTGAAATATCAACGTACAGCTATCCTTGTTTTCTTCAGCAAAATGTCATTCGTCAGCATACAGTCAAATTTGGTTTCATGTTGAAGTTAATGGATATTCATTTGTCTTGTGATGGAAATGGTGTCCCTCGTTTCATACACAATTTAATTTTTTTTATGTGTTCTTGTATTTTGCAGATCCCAAGGTGCGTCCTTGTATTCCATTTTCTTGCAACAAGAATTTTTTTGTTGGTGAAGTTCTGTAGATGTCAGCAGAAATTTATTTTGTTTGTGCTCTTCACTTTACCCTCCAATAAATGCATACATGTATACGTACAGCATCCCAACCACATCCCTTGTTCATAAATAATTTCTTCCATTCTTGTACACATTAATTTATACACACATAAGTCTGCACTTACAGTATTACTGTGGTCACTGCTGTTTTAATTATATATACAAAAAGCAGAGGTGTTTGTCTAAATCATGCTTCAGACTTGATGTGATTGAGGCTATTTTGGTACATATATTCATCTTTCTGGAATTCAATGTGCTGCTTTTGATGATCGCAATTATATCATCTACATTTAATATATAGGCTTTATCCTAATGGGTGGGATTTCAATATCATGATTAAAGGTTTGAGTATATGTCACTGGAAAAACATTTCTCAGGGTTTTAGCCTTTTCTATCCTTACCTTCATATGTGGTGGGGAATGAGATTTAGAACAGCTTTTTCGAGTCTGCCTCCATTGTTGTGCATATCTCCTCGACTTTGTAGGCTTTCCAACTCTCAAATTATTCCATTTCCAACATGGCTGGAATTTTAATCTTCACAGAAATCTGACTGGTTTGGAGATTGTGGTGGGGAATGAGATTTAGAACAGCTTTTTCGAGTCTGCCTCCATTGTTGTGCATATCTCCCTCGACTTTGTAGGCTTTCCGACTCTCAAATTATTCCATTTACAACATGGCTTGAATTTTAATCTTCACAGAAATCTGACTGGTTTGGAGATTGTGGAGCTGTCTCTCTATTTTCTTCACTTGTAAATGCATCCTTTCATTTTGGTAGACGGGATATAAGATTTTGGAAACTTGGTCCTGTGGGAACTTTGCATGTAAATCTTGTCATAGTAGGTTGATAGATTAGCCACTTCTCCCCAATTTTAATCCTTGCACGATTTGGTTGGTTAAAATACCATGTTAGGAGGTGGAGTTTACTCTGTTATTTTGTGAGATTGGAAAGCATATTTTCTGTAATTCCTTGGAAATTCTGTTTGAGTTAGTTACACAAACATCCCCTGAAGTTTGACTTTGTTTGGCATGTAATATTCGTAGAACCTCAAACAAACAAGCATTAGATGATAGTGACAGGGCATGTGGATGGAAAATTGCTGCGCAATCCCATTTGAAATGAAGGGGAGAAGAAAACTACTCTGTTGACCCCAACTTCTCGCCGGTTTGATGAATCATTTACTGATCAACACTAAGGAAAAGAACCCTAAATGACATGCCCAAATCTCATGTCCTTCTCTCAATTTTATCCCATGCTTACCCTCTCATTCTGGTGGTTTCAGTGTGGACAATGTTTGCTATGGTTGATGCTGGTTGGTTGAGGGTAGTCTTTCATGCCCAAAAATAAGCCTCTTTCATAATTTAAAATTTTTTCCCTCTACCCCCATGGTGAATTAAGATCTGAAAGAAAGGAGCCGTCCCCCTACCCTCATGGTGAAGTAGTCTGGTTTGAAAGAAGGGAGCTCTGACCTTGTCTGGAATTCGGAAAGTAAGAAGCAATAAGAACAATTGCTTGTAGAGTCACATGATTCATTGAATCTAAAGAGACAAATATCCATAAATAAGCATTTTCCTAGGGAGGAAAACTTGTCAATGATGTCACAGCCTTCTTTTGGATAGGCGGACAAGGGGGCATATTATTTTTCTTGGGTCAATGTATGTTACATTGTTATAGAACACTGCATGATAAAACATCTACATTCTTAGCTTCTAAATTCTTTGAAAATAGGTTCCGTTCTAGTTAATTGTTTTTAAGAGATGCAAACATGCAACACACTCAAACTGAGCAGGAGAGAGTTAGAGTGTTTTCTAGTCATGTAGTAAAAAGTTTTCTTAGCTTTTCTGTAATAGTCAATATCAGTATTCTGTATTGCATGGTTATTGTTGCACATTGGTTGTGTGCTAACACTGCAATTGTTTCAGGTAAAAATGAAGTATCCTCTGTTGTTTATAAAGTTGGCGAATGCATGCAAGAACTGATAAAGTTGTGGAAGGAATATGAAGTATCTCAAGGTGAAAAAAATGAAAGCTGTCTAACTGGTCCAACCCTTGAAATTCGGATCCCAGCTGAGCATGTTACCGCAACAAATCGCCAAGTAAGATCTAAATTATGTTCATAAGAAATTGGGCTACAATGTACTTGTTTTCTTGGATTTTCTTCGTGATAATTTTCTAGTGATCCTGTGTTCAAACTTTTTGGTATATTCTGTTTATGGTTTCCACACAGATTATTGCTCATTGTTTGTGTATTCCTTTGAATGTACTTGTTTTCTTGCATTTTCATTGTGATAATTTTCTAGTGCTCTTGTGTTCAAACTTTTTGGTATATTTCTGTTTATGGTTTCCACAGAGTATTGCTCATTGTTTGTGGATTCCTTTGCTTCATATGTGGTGTGTCAGATGTGAGCACAATTCTGTGGGTATTTGATGTTAGCAGCTGATCTAGTCTTCATATATGGTTTTTTATTAATTTTTAAATTTTAAATTTTAATTATTTTATTTTATTTTAAAACACTTTTCTGTTACTAGGTGCTTTTTAGAGTGTAGTCATTTTTTCTTTCCAAATTACTTAACTGCCTTTATGGGTTGGCAACTTTTGTACATTTGTTTGCCCTTGTGAACCAATTTGTTTTGAAAGTTTATTGTTCAATTCTCATTCTTATCAGTGTTTAGGTTGTGGTAAACATTAATGTTTGCTTTTGTCTATTCTTCATTTGTTCTTTTGATTTGTTTTTGTTTTATGTTTTTAATTCCATTACATGCAGGTTAGAGGTGGCCAGCTGTGGGGGACAGATATATACACAGATGATTCAGATCTCGTTGCTGGTATGTGATTTTAGGGTTGGTTTAAGTTTTTCTTTGTTCAGATGGTTGGTTTCAGTTAGTAGTGAGTCTATATGCCATATGACCTGGTCATGTATGAAAGTGAGTATTAATGGTTCAGTGTTGCTTTCCAGTTCTCATGCACACAGGATACTGCCGACCAACAGCGTCTCCCCCACCTCCTGCAATCCAGGAGTTGCGTGCTACAGTTCGAGTACTACCTCCACAAGACTGTGAGTGCATTTCTTGCTTAGTGTGAATAGGTGCCGCTGTCAATGTCTGTTACTTACAAAGAATATGGACATGGACATTTGATTGAATATACCTCGAATTTTGATTTAAAATGATTTAAAGCAATTGTTTATTCGTTGTACTTGTGATGTTGAATTAGATGAACAACTCAGGACTACATGGAGTTCCTAAATACGAATATCATTAATCATTCATTCATTCATTCATTTGCTTACCCAACAATTAATACAAGAAGTATCTCAATGGTTAATGCATATGAGCACTTTTTCATTCATTTATTTATCAAGCAAATTGCTTAATTTCAATTTAAAATATTTATTAAAAAAATTAATTAAAATAACATCAAAGAAGAAGAGAGAAATAGGTAAAGATATATAAATAAGTAATTAGCTATCATTATTTAAAGGATCAGTTAGTGAGTTAGAATGTGGTGTCCCATCCTTGATGTTTTTAGGGAATGACTATAGAGATTTCCCGTTGAGGTCAATTCAATTCTTTGTGGCACTTGGTCATCCAGAGTAAAATATGGCTTACATGCAAACAACTGGGATTGAGGAATGAGTCAGTGCTTTGCAAAGCATTTCTGAAGGCCTTTCTGTTTGGAGGGGGATAAAACTCAATTTTGGGAGGATTACTTGGGTGGGAATTGAAGTGCTTTTCCCCTTCTGTTCTCCCTGCTCTCCTTGATTGAGAACTTCTCACTTTCATCCTTTAGAGCTGATGGAGAGTTTGCTGTGTCTTTAGGTTTGTTTTCTTGCAAGTCATTTCTGGATTCTTTTGTTATGCATTACAACTTCTCCCCATTCCTTACTATATGGAAGGCCAAAGTGCCTCCCAAGGTGCACTTGTTCATGAAAGGGTAAATATTTGTGAGGTCCGAATCTGGTGGTACATGTCTAAGGTTTTTGAGGGTATTATAAGGGCTTATGGGTGTATTGATGTCAGCGAACTGGTAATCTTGGAAGCCTTCGATCTGTTAGTTAATAATAAAAATTGCTGAAATTTGGGTCTTTTGTTGCTAGGTTTATTGTCTATTTAAAGGGTTGCACTTGCCGAATTATAATTCTAAGTGAAGAAAAGATAGCATTCCCTATATTATATAGTAATGAAAAGCTCACGGTTGTTCCAATTTAATGGCAGTCCACCAGTTATTCAATTTAAAAACCTAGCTAGTTCTTTTTCATTTACACACACCCCAAAGAGTAAATTAATGCTTTGTTTACTTTTAATTCTAACATTTTATTAGGTTACATTTCTACTCTGAGAAACAATGTTCGATCTCGAGCCTGGGGAGCTGCGATTGGTTGTAGCTACCGTGTTGAGCGCTGTTGCATCGTGAAGGTGATAAGAACTTAAAGCCAATTTATTTATCCTTTTTAAGCGTGCGTGTGTGTTTTTTTTTACCCTTTTTATGTAATGGCTAAATTATATAGTGCTTCATATGATTTTGCAGATGCTAAGTACATATTTAGGGATTTTGATTTAATAATTTGTTAGCATGAACTGGAAACTAGTGGTTTGTAATGATTCTTCTGGGCTTATAGCACTGATGCTTCTTCCTAATTATCTGGTTTTCAGAAGGCAGGAGGAACCATTGATCTTGAGCCTTGTCTTACGCACACTTCTACAGTGGAGCCTACCCTTGCTCCAGTGATTGTTGAGCGTACAATGACTACAAGGGCTGCAGCTTCGGTATTATTTTGACATCCTCCACTCAGCAAATGTTTTTTTATTTCTATTTTAGTTGAAACTTTTCTTCCTTTTGGAATATGTCCCCTAGTCCATTTTCCATTATTGCAGCCACTTTTAAGTTTTAATTTTTGAAACATGCAAACCACTGCTTAAGGAAGTTTATTTATTTATTTGTAATGGAAACTTGTCTTTTGGATTATGTCCTATTTCATTTGCCGTTATCTGCAGCAGCTGGTTAGTTTAAATCTTTGAAACATATAATTGGTTTGGGGATTTTCATATTCTCAAGTATTCAACATCTTGTGAAACCCTTTCCTGACGCATAAAATACTGTGATAGAATAAGGCAGTGATCTGGAATTTACACTCAGACAAAAGAGTTGATTCTTTTGAACTGTAAAATGTGGCGTGTTATTGAACAAACCCAGAACAGGATTTCTGCACACAAATATGTACTTGGGTTAGGAAAATTATTGTTGTAGAATTTACCCATAAGTTGTTATAAACTTTGGAAATGCAATCTTACGCAATAAGAGTGACTCAATGAAGGATACCAAATAGTAACTGAATATGGCCCCTGCATTTATATGTTTCAAATGATTTACAATATTATCTGCTGCATTTGTGTGAGACCAATATTTTAGTTTAGAAATCTTTATGAAGCAGAGTTCACAATGATTTCATCCATACGTATTGCTCCAATATAACTTTTGGTAAACTGCTGGAAATTTATGTGTTGTGTTAAAGATCTTGCAACTAATTTTGACGCAGAATTGGTGTGGGCCTTCTAGCAATCCATGAGGCCTTTCGCATTTTGTATTATAAAGTGTAGATGTATGGAAAATGAATTTGAAAGATGTTCAGAGTAGTTTACACTGGAAATCAATCAGCAATAGATTTTCCCAAATGTGTGAAACTTTCTTTCAATGTTTTTGCTTTGTTATTATTAATTGTATTTGCACATCACGTTGTTTACCTCAAAGGAAGGTTCAGCTCCAGACATTCTTGATAATGTGCCCTTTTTGTTAGTGGGGTGGCATGTAGATCTATTATAGTAATTATGTCTTGAACTTCTTTGGTCTTGCATTTTGTAGCCTTCAACATTGCAGTTATACAGCTTTAAGACAGGTTTGATCTGATAGGTCGGGCCTTAAGCTTTGCCCTTGTGTTTTGTTTTGAGTTGGGAACGGGCAAGAATGCTGGGTTTGTGATTATTTGGAGGGTATTTGGGAATGTTTTGTCATTTTAAAAAGTTGTTTATTGAACTAGAGTTTGAGGGGTTGGAGATGTGAGATGAGGTGGAGTTTCTCTAGAAGAGTTGTTTGAGGTTGAATTTTGTTATTGGTTGTCTGATGAGATCCAATACATCTTATTCTGGTCCTTATGATCTATCCAACTTAAATTGAATTTCCTTCCTTATGAGGGTTTAGAACTTTCTGCTTTGGAGGCTAATTATAATGTTCTGAGGTGCTTGTATTCTTGGGCAATGAAGACTATACCTGTTTTTTTCTTTGGTCAGATGGACTACCCTGTTGTTTTTCAGTTTTTGTCTGTTCTGCCTTTAAGTTTGTAATGTTCTCTAGCCTTCAACGTTCATTGGCAATGGAAGTACAAAAGGCCTCTGTGAGACTGGGTGGCGAGAGCAAACAACCTTAAGCTTTATTTGGGGAACACATATACTTGTTAAACAATGCCACCTTGCCTTACATTTTTCTTTGTTTGCTACGATGGGATTATCCCCCCTAACTTTGCTATATTTTCTTGATTAAATCTTAGCTAAGATAAGAACTCAACTTGTAATGTCCATTTTGACCGATGTATGATTTATTTGAATGTGCATGTCAAGTTTTTGTCAACTGCGTTCAACATTTTTTTCAAGTTAATGCAAAAGGTGCTATCACTTAAGTTAATTGTAATTTGTAAACAGTATAACCTTGGTTAGGCTGCGCCACCATAACCAATTTAAAGTTTACATGCATATGCATGTACTCTTGAAAAAAAAATTCGTTCGTTAAATTTCATCAGATGATTTTTTAATTGTGCTTATGTTTAGATTTCCCAGTTATATAGTTTCATACTTGGATTGTATATCAGTGTGTTGTCATTTGATTTTAATCTTATAAAAACTCATCCTTTCAACAATCATCACTATTTCCCAGCTTACATAATTGCTTTATTCTTCAGAATGCATTGCGGCAACAAAGATTTGTACGAGAAGTTACAATACAGTACAACCTCTGCAATGAGCCTTGGTACACCACATCTTTCTTACCCTTTAATTCTGTTGAGCCTTGGTTTTAGATGCTTGTATTAACTACAAACTTGCATTCTCTTTCGTTATGTGGAAGAATTTGAGACGTGCTATATTTTAACCCAAGCAATGACATTCTTAGCCTGTATAACTATCTAATAATATCTATTATATTATAGCGGGGGTTCGTCCGAGTGCTTAACGGTGTTTATCATGTTTGCATCTCATGCCTTAACTCCCTTAGTTCTCTCGGGCAGCTGTCAGATTCTTTGAAAATAATTGCCCACTTTTAATTTGTTGATGACTCACCTTGTTATATGTTCATTTTACAATACGGACTTATGTTTAATGCATTCATAATACTTTTTTTGGTTAATTATATTACACTAGGTTGATACTCATTTGTTCGTTTATGGAGACATTCTTTTGGTTTTTCTTGAACTCTATCCCCCATATACCTTAAACAAGGTTTCTTCCACTAAATATGAACCTCAATGAACCTCGTTTCTGTTTGGATCCGATATAAGTTTTCTTTTCTTTTTTAGAATAAAAAAAAACTCTTGATTTTCAAGGCTACATACATTCAAGGCATCTAATGAATAATCCTTGAATCTCAGTGTTAGTGCTCTTGTAGGAAAAACTTCTTATCTTTTCAAAATTGCATCTTGTGCTGTCTGTAACACCTCAACCTAGGAATGCATGTCAATTGCTTCACTCAAACATATTGTGTGCAACATGGCAACATTTTTTTTTTCCTTTTTCAGAAAAGATTATTAAAGACTATGCACAATACGCTCATGAGAAAGCCACAGCCAAATTACAATAAGAAAGAGCTGGACCAAACACTCTAATCCAATAGGACGCAGCTTATGATGTTACCTGATTTGGAATTTTGTTATTGTAGTCTTCTCAAAACTTAAACTTTCACAGAAATATTGCTTCTTTTTACTTCATCTTGTTTCCCCATCCATAAATAATTATTGCACCTTCCTAAGTACATTCTTTCAAATTTCTTCAGGATTAAGTACAGTATAAGCATTGTTGCTGACAAGGGTTTGAAGAAAACTCTTTATACTTCTGCGCGTTTGAAGAAGGGAGAAGTTCTTTATTTAGAAACACATTCATGCAGGTATAATGCTAATTATATATTGTACTATGTATCTGGGATTTGACCATGATCTGTTTTAAGGACTAATATTTGATTATCACATGTTTTTCTTCATTTGTTTTGGCTACTGAATGTTACATAACATAGGAGATGAGTTACTTGTAAATGAGGGAACATTGACATTTTCCTTCCTATTTCTAGTTTGTTTAGCTAAACAACTTAACCAAGGAGAGTTTGCTTGCTTATAAAATATGGACTTCTGTCTTTGTTCTTTGTCTTTCCCCTTTTTATGTTTCTTCTTATTTTCCCTGATCTTGTTTGGTTTCATGATCATATGTTCCTTTGTGATTTGGCAATATGTATCTGTGATATGGTTCCCTCTTTTGTTAATATTGAATTTGTACCTTTTAACTGGTAGTTCTTGTTTATTTTCCCTCATCCAATTCCGGTATGGTTCTTGGTCATAAGTTAGTTATAAACATTTAGTAAGGGAAAAAGATAGAGCAGAAACTGTATCTTGGTGGTGGGTGACGATTCTCAAGATGCTGCAATACAAAGAATCAGAAGAATTAATTGAGTTGTTTATACAGAAAGTGATGTAGGATGCATCGCATGGATTAGGAAATGTCTTGTTGCTCGTAATAACTTTCAAGATAAACTTTTCAGAAAGTACAGGAATTTTTTTTTTGGGGACCATATCTGGATGGAGAATTGTGATAACAAGAGTTTCAGAAGCTGGGGTCTCTGGTGCTTTTAGAAGATCATTGTCTCAATGGGGGGAAGGGGAGCTCCATGGGCTGATTGGAATTGTTGGCTTACCATTTCTAGTATGCAAGAAACTGGAATTGGTCTAATTCCTTGATCCCTTGTTATAAATGACAATGGGCAAGCATTTGAAATCAACATTGGTTTACAAGCATTTAACTGAGTCTGAAGCAGTTTCTACTTGAATCATTTTCGCCCATCTATTCTACCCAAAAAAAAATAAAAATGCGCCTTACAGAAAATTATGTAGAATGTTGTGAGCAAAACATTATTCTTTAAGTGTGTTGTATTTTATTATCTGAAGGTATGAGCTTTGTTTTACTGGAGAGAAGATGGTCAAAGCTACACAGCTATCACAGATGCATGAAGGTGAGACAGAGAAAAGTCAAAATCATGTATCGCATTCCACCAATGGTGAAAGAAATGATTCTGATAACATTATGATTGATGTCTTTCGATGGTCTCGATGTAAAACGCCTCTTCCCCAGAAGGTCACGCGGTCCGTTGGGATCCCACTGCCCCTTGAATATGTGGAGGTACATCATATTGTTATATCTTTCATTTTGAGTTTGTGCATGTTATAGAATGGGTTGTTCTTTAAAGAAACATTCATTATTGAACAAATTCTCTGTAGATATGTCATTCTGAAAACGCCATTTTGCTTTTTGAATTCCTTTGCCCATATGAGGTTTGCCCTCTTTTTCTTCGTCAAATTTTTTTGCAGCTAGTGACTGCCCACTTTACTAACTCTGGTTTGCTTGGACCTGTGTCAAATGGAAAACATTGCAGTGCATGATGACAAAACTAAATACCGAAGTTTAATAATATTTCAAAAGCAGATAATCTTTATACTGAAGTTCTCTGATTTTGTTTTCTTGTTTCACTGTATGATGTGGGGATGTTGAAAATCTTTATTTAGTGCCATCCAATCTCTCATGTTGAAGTCTTTAGGTGAATATGCATAATAACTGCAGAGGGACAAATTGCTATTGTTCAGTGTCACACACACACACACACATACACGCGTGCGCAAGCCGCCTTCCTTCGAATCTGTGCTAAAACAGAATCAACAATTTGAGATCATCTACTTTATGAGAGAAGGTATTTCCTACTGCTTGGTTTGGTGCCTCTTGATGGGTTATATGAACTAGAATTCTGATACACGCTTTTAGATGCATGTTGCTGCTAGTTATTTTGTTGATAAATTTCACCCTTAATATATTGTTACTCGTCCTAGTTTTATTGAGCTATCTTCCTGGTTAGAGTTCTGATACACGCTTTTAGATGCATGTTGCTGCTAGTTATTTTGTTGATAAATTTCACCCTTAATATATTGTTACTCGTCCTAGTTTTATTGAGCTATCTTCCTGGTTAGAGTTCTGATACACGCTTTTAGATGCATGTTGCTGCTAGTTATTTTGTTGATAAATTTCACCCCTAATATATTGTTACTCGCCATAGTTTTATTGAGCTTTCGTCCTGGTTAGGTGTTGGAGGAGAATCTTGACTGGGAGGATGTCCAATGGTCACAGACTGGTGTCTGGATTGCTGGGAAAGAATATACACTTGCTCGGGTGCATTTTCTGTCGACAAATTAACCTATGTTTTATATTTTTCTCAATTTGTTCAAACAACAATGTTTCTTGACTTCTTTTCTTGCCATCCTGATTTAATGTATGGGTTTGGTATAATATATTTTACTCAATGATAACGCTTATACAGTTATATATATTACTATTTATTTCCCTTTCTTTGTAATTATAAGCATTTTGCCGTGTAACTATGTTCTCTGATTCCATTTTGGGAAAAATAGAAAATAATTTCCGAGCACTAGGGATTTGATCATAATTTCTTGGAGAAGCATACAAGCTTTCATGAAGCTGTTTCTGTTTCTGTGAACATAATAATTCAGTTATAAAGAAGAGAAGTCGGAACGTTTCCTAATGTCTAATGTGCATAACAATGTTGCCATTGCAGAAAATTAACTGGGAAATGTAGTCAACGAGGTTTAATTCATTTGTTGCTCCCCAAATGACTAATGACATGTTTACTAATTAATAACTTCAGTCAGAGCGACCATGAGTAACTCCAAGGTACTTTTATTAAATGAGAAATGATAGTAACCTTCTCTCTACCCTTTTCATTTGGACTTGCTCTTTTTTTCGCTTGACATGTGTCATTTTTCTTACACTTAAAACAATGTCATTAATATATTATACAAGTTAACTTTTTCTTTTCAAGTTTACCCTTATTAAATGTATTCAATTTATCCAAAAAAAAATTCACAACTTTCCTAACATCTGATTAATTTATTTTCTAACGTCAATTAATTTTTTAAAAGAAAATATATGATTTAAAAAAAAAATGTTCCCCCCCCCCCCCCCCCCCCCCTCTGCCCCCCCCCCTGTAAAAACAGCGGGGGGGTTTTTCCCCCCGCCACCGCTACCTCCGGCCACCATTCGAGGTGGTGTTGGTCCCAAAATGACCGGAGAAAAAAAACATATATTTTCTTTAAAAAAATAATTGACATTTAAAAAAAAAAAGATGATAAGTTTCTTTAAAAAAAATAATTGACACTTAAAAAAAAAAAAGATGATAAGAAAGTTGTGAAATTTTTTTGGATAAATTGAATACATTTAATAAGGGTAAACTTGGAAAGCAAAAGTTAACTTGTATAATATATTAATGATATCGTTTTAAGTGTAAGGAGAACACACACATGTCAAACAAAAAAAGGAGAAGGTCCAAAGGAGAATGTTAGATAGAAGGTTGCTACAATTCCCCTTATTAAATTGTTTGGATTCAAAATGAAAATGTAAATGACTCCTAGAGAATTGAATACGAAAACTAGTTTGACTACGAAAGGAAATATATTTTACTTACAACTTAGGCTCCGTTTGGAATTGCCTTTTTGGCCAAAAACTTGTTTCACTTTAAAGTTAAGCAGTTTAAGGTGTTTGGTAAAAATAAAATATCCCGATTATTTTAAAAGCAGGCTCTAGGTTGCTTTTCAAAGCTGCTTTCAAAAGAAGCATAGATGAACATTTAATGAATTTTTTTAATTCCCAAAATACTATAATTCATTTTAAAAAATAACACCACCTCCACTTTCACATCCAACTCCACAATATGCACCACTGCATTCACTACCTCCACAACTACCACCGCCGCCACTACCACCACAACCACCACAACCACCACCTCCTCCAAAACCTCTACATCCATCACCACCTCCACATCCATCACCACCTCCACAACACCACCACCACCACCTCCATGCTGCCACTGACACCACCACCACCACCTCCATAACCGCAATTCCCACCACCACCACTATCACAACCACTAACTCCACCTTCATCACCACTACCGCCTCCGCTCCATCAGTACCACTACCACCACATGATTAATACATAATACTTTTAATATCATGTCTATTTTAGTCATTATTCACAGTTACAACAATTTTATATTAAAATTTACCAAACGGTTTTGACACTGCTTTTTGTACTAACAGCACTTTAAAAATATTGTTTACCAAACATGGAGCTACTTCACTTTACAACTAATTATTTTCAAAGCACAGCAGAAGCAACTTTTTTTTTTTTTTTTAAAGTAATAGCAATCCCAAACTAAGCCTTAATAGTTTCAAATCTTCAAGTGGCTAGAGGTTAGAGCAGACATGCTCTTCACTTTGCACATAGATTCGAATCTCCTTCCCATAATTTAGATTAGATTAAAGTAGAATGTCGCTTGTATAAAATAAACTTAAATAAAAATCTTCAAGGGGTAGATTACTCTCTTTGATAATATTTATGATACATGATATATTTAAAAATATTTTCTTACAATTTTGACTATTTACTTGCAGTATATTTAATAATAAACAACAAATAGATATTAAATAAAGAATTCTATCCATACAATTATTTTGGAAATATATATCTAATGTATTAACAAAAAAAACAAAAACAAAAAGACCACAATAATATGGCTAAATTGTTCCTAAAAACTAAAAAAAGATATGAAAAAGTGACTGTACTTTGTTAAGTTGATGTACCTCTTTGCAAAGATTGGAAATCACTGTTTTTGAAAGAAAATGTTGTGGATCTAAAAATGCGTTTGGTAGTGTAATTCTACAAATGTTTTTCTGAAAACAAAAAATAATGAAAACGTTTCTGGTGTCAATACTTAAAAAAAGAAAAAAAAAAAAAGTAAATATGCTTTTCATATAAATATAAGTGTTGGTTCAAGTGTGAAGAGGTTAGGAATAGTTGGTTAGTGTTGGTGTATTAGGAATTAAAAGGACTTAAGACTTAAATTGGAAAACTTTGGTGAAACAAAATTTTGATTTGATTGGAGTTGACCAAGTGGGCAGTTAGATGGATAGACAATTGCTGTTTTTCAGCTTAAGAGCATCCGCAATGGTGATGGTCATTTCAATTTTATTTCAATAAATTGAACTTTTGACTTGCAGTGGTAAAGTTTAGTTCATTTCAGGGATCAATAGTTCATTTCATAGGTCAATAAAATGAACTATGAAATGAAATTCATTTCAATAAGTGGGCTTGCCATAATAAGGGTTCGTTTGGGAGTGATTCTTCCTGAAGCGTTTATGCTAGTAGCGCTTCTACGAAGAAGCAGTTTGTCGTTTGGATGTCACATTTAAAAATGCTTTTACACCACATAAAAGCGATTTTGATATTTTATTGAGTGTTTGGCTAACATAGTAAAGCACTTTTGATATTTTGTTGAGTGGTTGACTTCCATGTCGAAAATCAAGAAGATGATATCGAAAATCAGTCGTTTTACTCCACCTTGGGCATGGTTTGTGTGGCTTGGCTTCAACCATTGTCCTCATCCCACGCTTTCTTTCCAACTCTCTGCCGCCGATCGACTTTTCCCGCCATCTTCCACCGGCTCAGTCATTTCACCTCTTGGGGCCCACCGGGTCAGCTTAAGCGCAAGAAGAAAAGCCAAAGGTGTTGGGGTCCACGAGGTTAGCTGAAGTGCAAACACTCGTTAGGCTCCACCAGATCGGCTGGAGTAAAAACATAAAAATAAAAAATCAAAGCTACGGTTTTATTCCAAAGGAATAAATCTAAGTAAAATTATTTTTCCCTCTCTCTACTAGTGTAGCGAGGGAAAAAAAAAGGGGGCACTATAGGGGCCAAAAATGATATCCCATGTAACAAGGTCCAACTAACATGTCACGATTACAAGCCAGTGAAGACGTGGGTTAGTTGGACCTCCCTTGCACTAGAAAAGTGCGGAGCAAGGAAGGCGTAACCCGATCAAGCTCCCCACGATTGTGAACAAATACTTGCTTGAGCGTTGGAGTGACTTTTACAGGTACTCCCCTCATTTCCATCATTCATTCACGGAAACGCAATCTGGAGTTCCTTTCAACTAAGGAAGTGTGTGGAATTCAGTCAAGAACCTATGGAGGTATTTCTACTCGAAAAAAATCCGGCTCCAATAGCAAGTGTCGTCATCTTCATCCTCGGTGCTGATACCCTCACTTCAATGGAGGGCTCCATCTCAAAACCCATCATACCCTTACTTTCCATTACAATTTGTAACACTTGTGTGCTCAATTTCATCATCACCATGATTGCAGCGGAAGTAGACCAGCAGCCAAGTCTTTTTATCTCTACCTAATTTGCCTCATCAACCCATCAATCCCTTTCTCTTCTTCTTTGTTCTCTCAATTCAAATCTTGTCCCTTTCCCAGCAGCTCAACCGCCAGGAGAAGAAACAGCTTTGAATTGTCAATTTATCCAAGCGCTCTTGAAACAAAAAAAACCCAAATGCTCGGGACAAAGGGGAGCGCTTGGGATTCTTCTCCCAAATGTAGCCTCCTTTGTATTGGTAAATCTGCACCCTCCTTTGAATCATCGTTGCCATTGTAAGCTTTAATAAGTAAAGTTTTGATCTCATTAACTCTATGAATGACAGCCCAACTCTAAAAACACTCAAATTCCAAGTAGTTTCTCACTTGGATTGTTTGAGCCTCTACCAAGTTCTCTTCGTCTCTCTGCCATCTTCCTCACCAATATATAAATTGAAAACCTTAGAATGAGTCGATTTTTCACCAAAATCAAAGTTGAAAATCCTAAATCATTGTATATTTTAGTGAACGTATTCAAAACCCTCAATTCTCATGAACCTTGGACGTGTGCAAACGACACCAAGGAGATTGGGGGTTGTTCTCTGTCGCGAGTGTTTGCATTTTTTGAGGATTTAGAGTAATTATATTACAAATTTATAAATAAACTCAATCCTAGACATGTATTTATAAAAAAACCCAAGCATTATTTAAACATAGAAACACACCTAAAATCAACCCCAAAGTCAACTTTTTGGGTGTGTTTATAAATGAGTTTTGAGTGTGTGTAATGATGGGTTTTGGGTGTGTTTATAAAGTGTTTTGGGTGTTGGGTTTTTTTATAATTTCAACCTCTATTTTGGGTGTTTTAGTGAAACTCCCTATTATATTTAGGGTGATTTTATTGGCACCCCATTATTTGCTCTTTACACCCCATACTAATTTTTTTAAAAAATAACCTATTTTACCCTTGTACACAATTACTGTTAAGGACAAAAAAATTTAAAATTAAAATTAAAATTACTCACTACAGCCCACATATGTTCCTGCAACCCTAGTTTGAGTTTTTTTTCTCAAACTATCCTGTTCCTAAACCCTAAACCATAGATTTATAAGTTTATACTGGTGAAAAAATATCTTGTATTTATTCATGAAGGGTGAGATTGAAGTTAGAGAGGCTTCGAATGAGGTACGAGTTTATTTTTTGGCGTTTTGCAAGTTTAGTATTTCATAACAGTCGCTGGTAGCGTTCAGCACATCAGTACCAACAGGTAAATTCGGTGGGATGCCACCGAAATGTTGCACCATTTTCAGTTGGGTTTGACCGGTCAGCAACTTAATATTCGGTGGAGATCCACCGTAAGATGGATCATAGTTCAGTGGTTTACTACCGAAATTTTACATGCGTTTCAGTGGCATCCAACCGAAATTTATTTATTTTTTCAGTAACTTATTGCCGACCACAAATTTAATCCAAGCTATTTTGATCTTACTCCCATTGAAGGAACAAAATCAAGGTGACGCCCCTACTGAAGGCAACAATGTGGGAACAAAATGTGTAATAGACTATAGTGATCAATTCACAACTTATTCGGTAATTATTTGTCTGAAATCTTTTTTAGTATCATTAATGTGGCATTAATTTTCAAATTTATATTTAAATAATATGAGTTTTATGTGTAGATATTTAATGGTAGAGATGCATTACTTCGATGGGCTCGTGAACAAGGAAAATTGAATAATATTGTCATTGTAATTAAAAGGTCTGATTATGGAGGTGAGGGCAAGAGGAGACCTCGTGTAATACTTGCTTGTGATAGGAACGGCAACTATAAGTCTTGCAAGTCTAGTGAGACAACTGATATAAGGTCGGATGCAAATAGTGATATGAAAAAATGTGCTAGGGACACTGATACCAAGAAATGTGGATGCCCATTCTTGTTAAAAGATGTCAATATTGGTGATGGGGATGATTGGAAGTTGGAGGTGGTTTGTGGAGTACACAACCATCCTATTTCAGAGTATCTTCAAGGTAATTCATTTGTGGGGCGACGAGGAGAATGCCTTGTTGGTGGACATGTCTAAGAGTTTGGTGAAACCCAGAGATATTTTGGTCACCATTAAAGATAGAGATGCAATGAATGTTTCAACTATGAAGACAATATACAATGCTAGGATCCGAAATATAACCAAAGAATTTGCTGGGATTACCTCACCAATTCCACTCACGAAGGGTAGATGTTTTCGACATGCACCTAAGGGGCTCACGTTCCTAGTTAAACAAAAAAAAAAAAACAAAATTAAGGTTAGTTACCATGAACCAGACTTATATTCTACCTTCTATTGTCACAGTAAAACGACTTACTTGGAACTAATAGGTATCGTTTCTCACTATTGCAAATTGTGGGGGTGACATCTACTAATATGACATTCTCTGTTGCATATATGTATATGAATGCAACAATTGGATGATATGTAAGAGAAACACACCTTATCAGCATTCAAAGCGTCAAGCCGCTGTCTATACAGTGTTATTGTCACCGATCGAGAGTCAGCACTCATGAATTCTATTACGTTGTTGAGGCCCAAAAATCCAAGGGGCTAAGCCCAGATTAATTATTGGCCCAACACAGATAATTGAACACAAAGGGAGTTCAACTGGGGCAAGAGAGAATTGGTAAGACGCACCAATACGAGCTATGGGCCACACATTATGCCAAGCAAGCACGTGTAAGAGGACCAAGAACATGCCAACTTTACAAAAATCATGCTCACATACGCTTTAGGTGTTACTTGGTCCAATTATAGAATAGCAAAACTCAAGCACAAGCGTAGGCATCATGCAAAAAGAGCCATTATTCTAATACCAAGCTATGCCACAAGCTTAAGTGGGCCCAAGCCATGAAATTAACCGGGGCTTGCTGAGAAGGTTGTGGTGTGGATGGATACAAGCGTTCACAAGGTCCATTTAAGGGATCAAGGAATAAGAATTTTGAGCTACTTGGGAGTACCAAAATTCAAGCCCATTTCTTGGCCCCAAACACATGGGCTAGCATGAGAGAGAGACCCAATGCCTTAGGAAGAATATAGTAGTTTGCTTAGAAAAACCCTATATTAGTTTGAATGCCCAAATACCTTGTTAAAAAACGCAATAGGCAAACTGCTTCCAGCAGCTTGACGAAAAACCTGTCAAACAATGGCAGTAACAAGCTAATGACCCAATACTGTACATATAAGCCCAGCCCAAGGCCTTATGAAAAACCTGGCGTCGCGCTTCATCCTTGTTAGGACTCCAAGACAATCAAAACAGAGAGCCATGGTGGGAACCAACGGAAATCTGTGTGTGAAGGACAAATACCCATCAGACAAAGAACTCCCTCAATCTCTCTTTTCCGCTGCAAGCTCCATTTTGAAAAACCATAAGGAAAGCAGGTGGCCCTCACCCTTATGGGGAGGTCCAGCTGCGTCAAAACCCTTGGAACCATAAAGGATTCCTTACCCATGCACCTTGGATGGAAGAAATTCACCAAAGAAGATAAAGTGGAAGGAAACAATGAAAAAGGAAAGGAAAAGTTAAGACGAAATTAGGGTTCTTCGTGGCTATAAAAGAAAGCCTTAGCCACCCAGAAAATCAACTCATTCAGAGCCTGACCAAGCTTTGTCAAGCATCTGAGAATTCACTCAAGCCACCCAATCTTTTTCAAGCTAAGCCATTAATCAATTTATCATGCTTATTTGGTCATTGGTGAAAAGAGCCTAAGAGTGTTTTTTCTAAAGTCTCATAAGATTTTGCAAAAAACTCTTTTGGGAGCTTGGTCTCGAACTCAGATACTTGGGGAATTTTGTTTCTCTCCCTCCTCAAAGCAGCCCAGGCCCATTCGTCAGGCTGCTGGAACAAAAATACCCCTACATACGTCTATATTTCCGAAAGCACGACATTTATTATGTAGATGGCATATTAACAAAGGAATGTTGGCAAACTGCAAGAAGTTATTTGGGACCCTAAAACAATGGAAGCAATTTAATGAGGATTGGAATACTTTGGTTGGTTCAGAAACGGAGGAGGAATATTGGCGTTGTTTGCGACAGATTGAGTCTAAGTTCAGTGAATTTCAAAAAGCTCTTGAATACATACATGAAAATTGGTTAAATCCATTTAAGGATAGGTTTGTGGCCGCATGGACAGACACTTGTATGCATCTTGGATTGACGACCGAAGAAAAGTACCACTGCAGTGCCAAAAAAAAGAAACATGGTTGCTTCTAGTTCCATGTTGTCTAATCCAAAAAAATTTAAGGTATGTACTACCAATGTTTTATTTTACAATGTGTTATTACCATATAACTAATATTTTGTTTTATTTTCAGCTCTATAAGCCTCGCGAAAACCAATCAACGTTCTATATATATATGCATATAGAGAAATTCCCTGAGGGTATTAGGAAATATATCACTCACCAGACTGAAGTTCTTCTGGATGGTAACTGTGGATATAGAACCATAGCTATGGCAATGAGATTTGGTCATAATGAATGGCGTAGGGTATGCAAGGATTTGTTGCAGCAACTACATGAGATATCTTCTATTTTTAAGAAGTGTATTCGGGAACATAAACAGTACAACGAGATTGAGCGAGCGCTAAATTATTTTGATGATGGATTTGCACCATTCTTTTGTTGGATGACCATGTCTGATATGGGGCATATTATTGCCACATGTTATAATGTGGTTTTAATTCTTCTAAGCATGCGTCAATGCCTTACATTTCTTCAACCTCTGCGTCAACATTATTATCATGAGTAGGAACTACATTTTCAACCTCTGTAGTATCCTCAAAGTGATCTTGAGGAGCCGCTCTTTGTCTCCTCGTTGAAGCCGTGGGACATTGTCTATTAGATCGGGATGATGAAACCTCAATTGTACCTCTGCTAGTCCTCTTCATATCTAAAAACGAACAATATTAAGTACACACTCAATAATGTATTCGGTAGATGATCACTGAAAAAAAGAAATAAATTCGGTGGACTATCACTGAAAAAAGAATACATATTCGGTAGAGTACCACTGAAAAACCGAAATAAATTCGGTGGGAGTCTCCTGAAAAATAGAAACAGATTCGATGGACAACCACCGAAACAAGGTAACAATTTCGGTGGTAACCCACCGAAAGTAAAATAAATTTTCATACAACTCAGGTTCAAATTCAATAGACTACCACTGAATCAATGTAACCATTTCGGTGGTAATCCACTGAAATTAGAATCCAGTTTCGTAAAACCAGGTTCGAACCATACACAACGTTGAAATCAAAATCAAAATCAGAATCAGATGACCAAACTGCCACAAATAACTAAGATTTCTTGGGCTTCGACAGTCTTACCAGAACCACGTGGTAAGAAGTCCTTCCCAACAATGCTCTCCAAGACAAAAGACATCCCTCAACTCTGCATGACAGAACAAAAATATAAGCAAACATTATATATTAGCATCACAAAAAATTCAGTACTTCAACCAATTCTTCTAAAATTCGCTATCATATTCCAGAAGTTCTGTTTCTTTTTTCTTCCCAATTAGCAAGCATGTTCCAGTTAGCGTAGACAATTCCTAGCAGTTCAACCGAAACACATAAAAGCAATTCATTTGTTTTTAAGCACCATGAGTATAAACTAGTTCGAAGCATTAAGCTTTGGTCAAACTCGGGGGCTAAGTTACAGAGCAGATAAAAAGAAACACAAATCAAAGTTCATATACTCAGATCGATGAGAGAGATAAGAGAAGGTGAGGGATCGGAAGCGGACCTGGCCATCGACGACGGTGATGGGGGTTTGCTGGGTTGTGCGATGACAGGTTTGTTGGGTTGTGCAATGGGTCTTTGCAAAGGGATGGGTTCTGCGACGGGGTGTATCTGCAAGAGGAGGGAATTTTCAATGGGGTGGGGCTTGATATCAGATGGGGTGGGGTTTGATTTCAGATGAGGTGTGTTGAAAGAGAAGGGGGTTTTCGGTGGGTAGTGTCTGATATGGAATGAGGTTTACATAGTGAGTTAGGGAATGAGGTTCATGAGGGCAATTTAGGAAAAAAAAAGGGGTATAATGAGTAATTTGAAATTTCATTAAAATTTAGTGGGGTGTAAAAAATTATGGGGTGTAAAGAGCAATTAATGGGGTTCATATAGAATTACCCTTATATTTAATTTAATATTTTTAAATTAATGAAACTGACGGAATTGAAACATTTGACCTGATTTGCTAACAGTTGTAAATACAGACTCTAAGTGGGCTGCCAAAAAAATTCAATAAATTGAACTATTGAATCGAACTGAAATAAACTGTTGAGCAGCCATTACAGAGGCTCTAAGTGCGCTACATGCATATTTATGGGCTAGCTAAACTTACAATTACATTAGATAATTATTAGGATGGTTATAGTAAAGATCAGATGACTTTAACTTGTGAACTTCCCTCAATTGTTGTAGATTTTTCTAGTTTTATCACACAAGTGTGATTAACTTTTAACAATAACAACTTAGGCGCGGTGGTGGTCTCGATGATGGTGGGGGTTGTCGCAGTTGCAGTGGTTGTGAGGGTGGTGGTGGTGATGGTGGTGAGGGTGGTAGAGGTGATCGTAGCGAAGATTGTGAAGGTGGTAGAGCTGGGGATGGTGGAGGTGGCAGTGGTAGTAGTGGTGGTGGTGGCGAGGGGAGGGGAGGGGAGGGGGGGAGTTGGCTAAACGACGTCGTTTTGGCTAAACGACGTAGTTTTGTTGGCTCAGGTTTTAAAAAAGAAAAGAAAGAGAGAACAACCTCTATTTTAACAGAGGCAGGCAGCCTGATAATCTCCTCCCCTCCCCCAAATGAGTTTTAGCTCATTTCTACATATGTCAAACCCTAAATCCCCAAATCCTACGAACCAACCTTCACCCAATCCGACGCCCGACGACGACTTCCTCATAGTGGCAACAACATCAAAACAAAAAAGTCACCCCAAATTCATTTTGATTTCAAAGGTGGATATTGTCCATAAATTTGAAAGTATGTTATCTTAATTTCTAATCTCTTTATGCTTTAATTAATTAATAAAGATTCTTATTTGTTTTTGTTTCTCTTGATTAATTGTTTTGTTGGGTTTTTATTTTGGTTAGTTGGTATTAATAAATTAGGGTTTTTTTATTAGGTTGTATATGCTTAGGTTATATCTTGGTAAATTGGATTAGTTTTTGTGTTTGTTAATTAATGAAGATTCTTATATATTTTTGTTTTATTAGTTGTTAGGATTTTATTTTGGTCAATTTGAATAAATTAGGGATTTTTTTAATAGATTGTATTTGTTAGTTTGTATGCTTGTATCTTCTTGGCAAATTGGATTAATTTTTGTACATTCAATTGTTGGATTGGTTGTTCATGCTTTATGGATTGGTTGTTCAAGTGTATTTTTGCTAATTTTAGTTTTTTTTTTTTAATTCTTCAAAGACAAAAATTTATAAACAATAAAAAGATGAATAATTTAACAAATAAAAAATTCTAATATTTTTTTAAAGACTAAAACTATCTTATCTCATTTCTTTTTTTTTCTTTCTCTTTCTTTCTCCCTTTCCTTCCTTCCTAAGCCCGTGCCCTTCTTTTTTCTTTTTTTCTTTCTCTTTTCCTATTTTCTTCTTTTTTTTCCTTCCCAGACCGTTTCTTTTTTCGTTCTTTCTTCCTTTTTCTCTCTCTTTTCTCTTCTTCCTCTATATGATTCTTTCTCTTCTTCTTCCTCTCTTAGTTTGTTCTTTTCTTCTTCTTCCTCTCTTATTTTTTCTTTTCTTCTTCCTCTCTCTGATTCATCCTGTTCTTCTTCTCTCTTCATATCTATCCTCTCTCTGTTTCCATTTGTTAATGGTCGGTGGTGCTTCGATTGGGTGGTGATAATTGTTCAATTGGGTTTGTGGCAGTTACGGTTCGACTGCTTTGGTGGCGATCGTACTATGGAGGTGTCGGTGCAGCAAACTAGACTATGGGTCTAGATAAGGGGAGATGGGTTTCCACAGTGGTGCTCTTCAGTTGAATGTTTTGTTTTGTTTTTTTGGTCTAGTGCTTGATAAGTAAATCAAGATCTCAGTGATTTTAGAAGAAGAAGAATAGCTATGGAGAATTTCAAAGACAAGAATCGATGTTGACTGGAGAAAGAGAGATGGAAAAAATGAATTATCGTATGGATTGAAAACGAAAACAACATATTATCATTTTCAACTTCTGTTCATGAATTGGATTTGTTTTTGGAAAATATTTTTAGGGAAAACAAAAACGTTCAACCGAACAGGTATTTTCCAGAAAACAGGAAATGAAAACAGAAAAAGGGCAGTGAAAACGATACCGAACGCCGCCTAAGATATTGTGAATGCAATGTCTTTAGTCAAAGATTGCAAGGACGAACTACAAAACATAAGAGATAATGGATTTGAAGCCTTGCTTGATCAAGTATATTCCATTTGTGGCAAATATGATATTGAAGTTCCAAACATGGATGATGCATATGTAGCTCAATGGAGATCACATCGTAGAGCTCCTAGAATAACACAAATCCATCATTATCGTGTGGACATCTTTATTCAAATCATTGAGTGGCAACTTGCGGAATTAGCTTTAACTTTATCGGTTGCAACTGCTTCTGTGGAGAAAGCATTTTCTGCTATGAATGTTGTGAAAGGTCCATTTCGCAACCAAATGGAAGATCAATGGTTGAGTAATAACTTGTTTATATTGAGAAAGATGTATTTGCTTATACTGATAATTAAACTATAATGCGACATTTTCAGAGTATGAAAACTCATCGTGGACAGTTGTAATGTGATTTTTTTCTTTTAATTATGAATTATAAATTATCATTTCAATTTTATGAGTTTATTTTTGTATAGAATTTTTTTACCCCTTTAGACGTTGACCCCTGCAAGGAAAATTCTTGGATCTGTCCTGTGTGCAAGGTGAATCAAGGATTCAATAAAAAAAAAGGTGAATCAAGGGAGGAGAGAGAGAGAGAGAGAGAGATTTGGATGTGGTGGTTTGGATGGGGATTTGGAAGAGAGAGGGGTGGTTGGGAGATAGGTTGGTAGTGGTGACGGCTGAAGGGGTGTTTGGTTTTGTGGGAGCGGAAAGAGAGATTGAACAATTGATTTTGAAAGGGGGGGGGGGGAGTTAGCTTAGATTGAAATGGCCCTTCATGTGAGGGGCACATGTCCCAGAAATAACGGATGTTAGAGGATTTTGACAAAAATTGGATATTGTCTTTAAATTGCTTGGAATTGAAAACCATAGGGGTGAAAGTGATCAAATTGAAACCATAGGGACCTTAGTAATAAAAATAACAACCACAAGGACCAAAAGTGACTTTTTGCCTTAATAAAATATTTTATTCTTATGAATAGTAATGGAATTGAAAAAAAAGAAAAAGAAAAAAAAAAGAATAGTGGTGAAAATATGGTGTGAGATATTTTTCCGTGATTTACATGAGAGCAACTTCATACTATTTTGTTAAGAAAAATTGTAAATAACATACAATTACTATATATCATACTTGAAAAAATGTTTTCTATCAAAATTTGACTAAGTATGAAAAATGAACTTTTGAAATACGAATGTTTTCAATGATATTTTTGGCGCTTTATTATCCTCATATCTTAAATAATCAAACACAATTTTTATGAGATTTTAGTATAAAGTATACATTGACTTATTAAGATATCCATATTGGTATAAAATGTATCTTATACTAAAACTGGATTTTTATATTTTGATTTGTCGGGAATTTAATTTTCTAGTATTTTTTATTGAATCCAAATAGGGGTACTTCCTTATTTAGATTGTAAGGTTAAGTAAATAGAGTAATATAAAAATAATAAAGTAAAGTAAAAAGACAAGACATTTATTTAAAGGTTTAGAATAAGGCAATATAAGGGGAAACAAAAAACAAGAAGGCAATGAGCGGGCTTACTCAGGCCTCAATGAGGGCGAGTCGGATGTTTCAAAAACTAAGAGCATCCACAGTGGGGGAGTGTATGTTAAATATACACCTCAAGTCACCGGAATCGTCTCCAATGGGGAGATGTAAATGGATGTAAATATACATCACCACCATGGTGATGTAAAATAAAATGTATATTTACATCTATTTTTACATCCCTTGCAGGCGGGACCCACCCGAGAAAAGAGAAGAAAAATGAAGAAAAGTCAACATAAAAGGCTGGGACCCACGGCTACACCTCCGAATTTACACCCCTCCACTGAAGTAAAAAACATATTTACACCCCTCGGAGGTGTAAAGAGGATGTAAAAGTGGCTTTACACCCCGAATTTACACCCCGCCAGTGTGGATGCTCTAAGCACAAGCCCTACCCAATCTTAGAGCAAGTCCACCCCAAAAGGCTAAGAGCATTTCTAGTTCGGGTAAGGAGTGGGACCCAACGAACTGGGCTGGCCCGAGCACCAGCCCGAGGGCAAGGCTGACGTCAACATGCTGGGCTCTTCGATAAGATTTTTCCCAGCAATCCAACGGTAGCCAATTTTTGTACAATAAATGTCTTTGTCCTTTTACTTTCATTTATTTTTATATTACTCCATTTACTTAAGTTTACAATGTAAATAAGGAAGTACCGCTCATTTGGATTCAAATAAAAATACTAGAAAATCAAATTCCCACCAAATCAAAATATGAAAAATCAGTTTTAGTGCAAAATACGATTTAGGCTAAAAATGATGGCTCATTAAGTCAACATATACTTCATATTAAAATCCCATAAAATCAAGTTTTCTTATTTGATGTGTAAGGAATAAAAGCCGCTAAAAATTATCTTGAGAAAATGATTCCAAAAAACCATTTTTCATACTTAGTCAATATTGCACATCTGCTTAAAAAATTATGGGTCCGCCAGTATCTATAAATACCAACCAATACTTTTCACTTTTAACACCAAATCATCATACTTTTTTTTTTCTATAAATACCAACCAATACAACTAATAAAATAAAATCTTATCTGATATGAATAGTATTGACACGTAGGAACTCAAAAATCTTATCCAAAAATATTATCCAAATTAATTGTTTAAGTAAAAAAAGTTGTGAAAAAAACAAAAAAATGAATAGTATTTGCTATGGCAAAGGGCAACTGTTGGAAACACACTTTGTTGGGGGACTAGGGCAGTCACTATTCATGTGAATAGTAGCTGCCCTAAGGCTCCCCTTGCCATGTCAAGGGGCAAACTGCTAGAAATGCTCTAAGGCAAGGCAATGGCTGCCACTATTCACGTGAATAGTGCCAGCCTTGCCTTTTTTGGTTCCACCCCAAAAGGCTAGGATAAGGGCAAATACTATTCATTGTACTTTATTTCCTATTTTTTTAATACTTTAAACCATTAATTTTGATAAGCTTTTCAAATAATATTTTCGGTTGCCACATGTCACTATTTATTATAAAATTATCACCAAAAATTTCAGATAACATTTTCGGATAAAATTTTAGAATTAAATTTTTGGATAAGGTTTTTGGTTGCCACATGTCCATCATTTTTCAGAAAAGATTTTCGGATGAGATTCTTGGTTGCCACATGTCTTATTTCAAATAAACTTTTCGGATATTTATTAAAAAAATTATAATCTCAGATTTCAGATAAGATTTGCACCCTTTAAAATTGCGCCACGTGTCTCATGTTAGAAAAGATTTTCAAATATTTGTAAAAAAAAAATTATAATCTCATATTTCATATAAGATTTTCACCCTCTAAAATTGCGCCACGTGTCCCATGTCAGATAAGATTTTCAGATATTAAAAAAAAATTATAATCTCAAATTTCAGATAGAATTTCTCCCCTCTAAAATTGCACTACGTGTCAT